TGGGTTTTTCGGGCTCTTAGGCCGTGTTCTGAAGGTTGTTCTTCCTAATGTTTCGCCAGTCTCTGTGGCCAGCATCTTCAGAGGACAACACTCAATCAGGATTGTCAGATGAACAGCACCCCATGACATTTCAGGGTCAAAGTATGAGTGAGGCCTGGAAAGTGAACCCCAAAGCCTGAAACTCAGGGAAAGATCTTGAGATCTGCCATACATCCACTATTTGATTTATCTGTTGTATTTATTACATGCAAAACCCCACTGAGAACCTAGCAACATTAAAAATATAATAGTACAATAAAAATCACAACAGAAACATAAAGCAGCATAAAAACAGAACTGGTGTTTTTTAAAGCAGCAGAACAACTTTTTAAAGAGGCCACATTGAAATAAAATGTAATTGTGCATCTTAAAAATCCCAAGCAAATGAAAATGTCTTTACCTTGCACTCCAAAATCATCACCAGGCTTGACTTACAGAGATCATTCCAAAGTAAGGCACCAGAGTTGAAGAAGCTTTGGATCACCACTTCAGCTGGATGGGGAGACAATTTTGTAGGATTATATTGAAAAACAATAATGAAGATAACCTAAAGTAGCACAGGACTTTAAGAGTCAAAACTGGTACTTTGAACCTGGAAATCAACTGGAAACCAATGCATTCCTCTAAAACTGACCAGATGTGCTCACCTTGTCAAGTCCCACTTAGTAAATTTTAAAGCTATTTTAAAATTCACTGTACTATCTAAACTGTATTCAAGAGCAGTCCCATGTACACCCTTTCTTTTGCCCACCAATCCTTCCCTCTACAAAAGTCAATTTATTTCCCTATACAGGTTAAAAACAAATCGAAATCTTGGATGTTCACGCAGGCCTTCCTTCCAGTTAATACCTGATTTCTTTTTCTTATTTTTTTTCTTCTTTTCATCTTGAATAACCTGTATTTTGATGTCTACAAATTTTGTTATATTTTATATGTTGTTGGTATGTATGTTGGAAGCTGCCTAGAGTGGCCGTTCGACTAGATAGGCAGGGTATAAATGCAATAAATAAATAAATAAATAAATAAATAAATAAATAAAATTGAGAAAGTTGCTTTTTAATCTGTACCTCCCAGAATCCCCAAAGTAGCTTGGCCACAGTCCACAAAAGTAACCTTTTCAAGGCCTGGTAAAGGAGCAGAAATTTTGGAAACACACATTTTGACCCTCAAATTTGCTAAAATAGCATCTGGTTTGTCTTCTGATTAGCAAAGGAGCAAACTTGCCGGCAAACCTGAAGAGGTTCTGATTGCAAGACAGAACTAGATGTTATCTCAGCCAAAGCAAGTGTCCAAAACGTGTATCTCCTGCTCCCTAAGGTTTAGACGAAGGGAGTTCCCCAAATGCACATGTAGTTTATTTAACACTTGGTTAGTATCTCCTGTCATATGGGAAAAATGTTTGATGACATTACGGTATGTGCAGATATCCTGTGCCTTGACATGCACATATGATGAATATGTGTCAACAACATGCAGCTGTTCTCAAAACAATTGTGAGATCTCTGGAGTTACTTCGACAGAGTCACCCTGTGTACCACTGTTCCCTAACCCAGTGCCCTCCAATGTGTTGGCTTGCAGCTCCTATTATCCATTAAACATGATGGATAGTGATATAGGAACTGTAATACCTCTGGAGTGCATCAGGTTGGGGATGGCTGCTGCAGGTGGTGTAGTAGCATATGACCTCAGAATGTAACCTGAGGAAAAATACCTTTTTTTTTTACCCTACCACAGATTGGCTAGATGGTTCCAGACTAGCCCTCACTCCATGAGCATCAGCCATAATAACAGTGGGTTGCCTTGTGGAGCTATCTTGTGGAGTTCCCAAGATACCATACAGGAGGCACTGTGTGTACTGTATTTGAAACATCCTGTAACTAGTCAGGATGATGACAAGGTCCATCCTTTAGAAATAGGTGTGAACTGTGTTACTTTCTGCAAGTCACACTTCTGTAGCAGGTGCTGCCTGAAGTGTCTCTTAGAATAAAAATGTACGTTTGTCTAGTTCATCTGGTTTATAGTTAACTTAAACCGCAGTATGAAGAAATCAGAAAGCCGCTGACTTCCTGGTCTCAAAAGAAGCATGCATGATTGTTAGCCACATCTACAGCAGGTGGATCTTGACATACTAGGCACACAATGACTTGTTCTTCAGCTACTTGTTTCTCTTACTCAGCAACCATTCCAGACTGTCCCATTGAGGTGAGTAATGTCCCTCAAGAAAGAGCTGTTTGCACTACGTGACCTAAATAGGAGCTGCAGCCACCCACCCAGCCTCCTTGCTGCACACGGCACATGGGCCATAATGCCATTCTTGGACAGCAGGTGTGGATCTCCCTCTATATTCAACCAGAGGTTACAAAATAGCTTCCCTGTCTCTGAACAAACAAAACAAAACAAGATAGCAAAAGAGTCATGCATTTAAGAACTTTGGGGGAAGTAATGCACATTGAAAACTTTTGCTTGCACATTACAGTTAATCTAAAATGTTGCTTCTGAGTTGGCATATTTGGAAAACATAGCTGATTTCTCTCTTAAAAACTTGCACCCTTCATGTGGAAGTGCTTTTTCAAATCTTTATTTTAATCCCTTGTATATGTTGGTGGTTTAGACTCATGTTTTATTACTTGTCTGGTTTTAGTTCTGCCTGGGAGAAGTGTGTGTAACCTATAGAACAGGACTGAAGAAACCTTGCCAGGTAGGAATCCAGTTCCCTTTAGCCTTTGCCCTGTAGTTAGGGATGGTGAGATGTGTAGTCCACTTGGAAATTCCAGTTTTCTTTTCCCTTCTTTTAGGAACAGCAACATTTGTGTACATGCCCTGAGATCAATTGGAGCTTGCACATAAGAATAAAAATTCCCCTTTGCCAGCTGAATCAGCATTTTTGCAAAGATGTTCCAAATTAGTTGCTAGATTAGTAAAAACAGTATGCCAAAAATAGAAGAGTTACTACACTAAACTCAGCATTCATGTCTCCTCTTATGCATTAACAAACAAAAACAAAAGAAGAGTCTTATAGTGTTTTCTCAGAGCTGTTCTAATTGGATACGGTTAAACCAAAATTATTCAATCCAGTCCAAAAGACATTTATTCCATTAAGTTTTATGAAACAGTTTGTTCTTAATGAGGTTGGAGGGGTAAGGTAGAAGGAACAAGTCTAGCTGTAATGTGCTTTTCATGACCCACTGTTTTCTGTAGGGGAATTAAAACACCTATTTAAACCTTCATCAGTGAAATAACAGGAAGGCTTTTAAGCAGCAAAACAACCATGAATCACAGCAAATATTTAAGAATACGGTTACTAGGATTCCATGTTCTTACTGCTCAGATAGACTGCTCCTGCATAGCATACTAATGTAGGGTGGGAAAGCTTGCTTAAACAGCTCGCTTTATTCATAGTAAAGACAGCTTCATGTTTCTTCTCCAACAGGACGCTCAGTGATTAAATGTGCTGCAAGGTTGCTGGCAAAGGGTCAGTGAGCAAAGGTGCTGCTCTTTCAAGCCTGTTGCCCATATTATAGTAAGACTCTGAGCAAAACTGTAATCTACAAGCTGAAATACTGCACACTTACAAGACGAAATTACAATGTGTAGCATTATTTTAGTGTCAGGATATGACCTTCAATGTCCATTTTACAGCCATGTAAGCCCATATTTGATACAGCATTGCTTGCAGTTATTTGAGCGGATGTGTTTCTTGCGCATGTCTTTTTATAGCACCCTAGAAACGAAGGTGAGGAGAGATGCTGCCTCCTGTTTGAAGTGTTTGCTAAATTTAGTTTCTGGCCAGTCCGATATTGTGTGGAGTTGATGTAGAGATGTTCTGTGTGTAAAATGAGGTTCATCCTATTCTCACTACAAACTGTACTGACTTTAATAAAAGGGTAGATAGATACATCTGGAAATTGTCAGGTGGACACAGTTGGAAGAATTGCCAGTGCATGTTTTGTAACTTCTTTATAAGGCACCTGTCTGGATTGTACTTTCTATCTTTAGTCTATATATTATAAATGCTTGCAAAAACTCCTGCTTTTTCCTTCTTTTATACTAGTTAACCTAACAAATTCAAATTTATCTGGCATTGTGAACAGGATGGTAAACGTAATGTAGCATGCTATTTCCAGTGTAGTGACAGAACAATGAGAGCTATAATCCATCATGGCAGATTGGAAAAGTTGAAAAGACAGGTTTCAGATTTCCACAACCTACTTTGGATTCTCGAATTTGTCCAAAAAACACAAGTTCTGACACCCAGTTGACTATTCTTGTTGTCTGCCACAGCCAGCAATGTAAACAGAATAGTAAAATAGGATATTGTACTGCATCACTAATATATGTTTATAGTGACTCTCTGTTTCGGAATCTCTGTCACGCTGGGGTATGTCACAGAGCATGTTGTGTTTTCCAGAAACAGATTAGTGGCTAAAAGCTGGGGAGGTGGGAGTTTGGGGTGAGAAGTGAGTGAAGAGCGTTATCTGTCCTAGAAAAAAAAAGACCTCTTGTTTTGAAAGGCACTGGTTTATTCCTCTCCCTCCCCCCCTTCTGTTCCTTCCTACAGTGTTTTGCCAAGCTAGAAATTGGCAGCCAGCTGTGGCTGAAAAGGAAAGCAGGTCTTTTCCAAACATCACGTTTTTCAAGGATATTTTACCTCCTCCTTGTGTGTGTGTGTGTGTTTCTTCTAAGCTTTAACCTCTTTTGATCTCGGGAGGAGGCGGGGGGGGGAAAGAGAGAGACAGATGAATAATAAGCAAAGTCACTCCTCGGGAATGCACCACACACAGATAGGAGCGCGCGCATAAAAAAAAGAAAAAAGAAAAAAAGGCGGGGGAGAGCCGGGCGCCGGGCGGGGAAACTACAGCTCCCTGCGAGCCGCGCGCCCAAGTGCCCCGAGAGCCGAGCGCAATGTGCTGGCTGTTCCTGCTGCAGCATCCGAAAGTGTGTCACTGGGGCACGAGGCTCTCCCTAGGAGTCACATGGTGGATGCTCCAGTGCCGCGTGCTGGCGTCTGCGCAGCTGCGGCCGGAAAGGAGCCGGCAGCGAGTGCTTTTTGGCAGAGTAAGGTTTTGCAGGCGAAGGGAGCGGGTGCAACTTCGGGAAGCTCCTGACTGTTGAGAGAGCTTGCTGCCCTTGCACACCCCGGTGAACTCGCGACTTTTGCTCTTGGACACGCCGTGGAAAAGGTGTTTTTCCAAAGGCAGGTTCCTCCTGGCACCAGGACTAGCTTTTATTTGTTGCTTCGCGGCGAAACTTTGGGGGGGACAAGACGCAGCCAGAGGAGGCGAAGGGGACAGCCTGCCGCTTCCCCTCCCTCCGCGCCGACCGACTCGCGGCTCTCACCATCTCTAGACATGAATGACAGCTGCCAGTTGAACAGGATGGCCACTTTCGATACTAACAACAACGCACCAGGTAAGCCCCTGTTTTGCATGGAGGGTGCTTAAGACTGCTTACCGGTCCTGCATTTGGGGGTCCTGCACACGAGTCAGAAAGCCACCCTCTCCCTCGCGTTTGCCTCATTTTCCTGGCCCTCACGCTGAAGTCCCAGGGTCATGAATTGTGGCATTTAATTTTCTGTCCCTGTGCAATGAAACGAACCGTTTCAAGCTCCCCGAAGATTTCTGTGGCGGGTGGGACGCCTGCTTTGCCCCAGGGAGAGGTGGCGGGAGGAAAGGAGGCGAAGGCTCCGGAGCAGGGGCTTCCCTCTTCCAAGTACGATCCGGCGCTGATCTGGGGAGGTGGAGAGTTGGTTTCTAAAGGCGTTCAGGGTGTTTAAGAATGCGACCCGTTTTGGAGAAGTTTTGCATACTAGAATTGGAGACAGCAGAAATGTTTCGCTAACATCTCTCCTTGTGTCCTTATTCTGCCGTGCTTTCGTACCCCATCCCGGTGATTGATTGATTGATATTTTTAAAATTTGCTTCTCCCCCCCCCCCTTTGGGGATCGGTGAGAGGTGAACGAAGGGGAAGCAAGATCGGTGTCAGTTTTGGAGAAAGAGGTCACCCTTCTTTCTCCTTTTGGGAGGGGGAGCGAGCCGACTCAAGGGTCTGGGCCACCAGTTGCCCCAGGCGACGCCCTGCTGAGAGTTTGCCAGTTGGGGGGGATTACGATGTTTGTGCGGCGAGAAGAGTCCGCTGCTTCGCTTCCATGCTGGTTTCCCCCATTTCTCGTGTTTTCTTTGAAAAGGTCCTGGAGAAAGCCCGGACCTCCTGAACACCTAATTTTTATGTTGCTTCTTCGTATTCATGGATTTCATAGGTTCCCTTCCAGGGATCTTGCTCCCCTCTCTAATTTTGGAAGGGGAGGTCTTCCCCCAGCTCTGTTGGGAATCCCACCGCCGCTCCCTTTGGAATCCCACCCTTCCCGGGAATCCCCCATTAAGTTTCCCCAATTGAATCTCTCACGTGTCCCTTTGGCCGGCTCAGCCACGTGCAAAGTTTGTTTTCCCTAATGGTCCCGCCCCTCATTTCCCATTGGTCGGTCCCACCTCGATTGCATCATTAGACGCTGCCCTTTAGGGCGACGTCACCGCAGGAAGTGCTGGTTCTCCTTTACTGGGCGGGGCGAGAGTGCGGAACGTCCTTATCCAGGGGGAGGAGCTGGAATCCATAGGTGGGCGAAAGGCGGAGCAAAGCGTGATGGGTAGGACTGGGAAAGCGGGGAGGGACCATGTGCGAACGAGACACGTGGAGGGAGGAGAGCCGGCTGACCCACCAGCCGTATGACTTGGATCTCTTTAAGTCGTAGAGGTCGGGCCGGGAATGGTTTTAGGTCTTTTAGATGTCTGCAAATCTTGGATGGATAAACACGTCGGGCTGGAACGAATACCCTCTGTGGGAATTCATGTGTGTTCCAGTTCCCCAGTATCTCACTGTGGTGGAACGTGCCTTAGTTAAACTGGCAGCGAAGAAACTCAAGAGGAGTGCCAGCACTGGAACAGACTTATTCTCTTAATTAATAATAATCCTGTGCTATCAAGTCAGTTCCGACCTATGGTGACGCTTTTCAGGGTTTTTCTAGGTAGAGAATACAGTACTCACAAGTGGTTTATTATCATTCCCTTCTTGGGGGTGGGCGCCCTGGGAACTGTACACAGGCTGGCTCTTCTGGGATGCACAGTGTAGAGTTCTGTCAATTAAAAAAAAAAAGGTTGCAAGACTACTATAGCGTCTCATTGATCGTGTACAAACTATGACTTGTTCCTGCTGATGGCATTTTTAATACAGTGCCTGAGAGCCTGTATAGAGTGACTTTCTCTTACGCTGCAAAGCAGTTAAATGTGGCATAATAATTCTGAGTGTGCAGAGTACCACCCCCAAATTGAAAAGATACATATTTAAATTAGAGCAAAATTGCAAACTTTAAAAAAAAATTCTGTTTAAATTTTGGAAACATGTTTTCTAACCACACATAAGTTATGAGTTCCAAAAGCTTCCTTCCAACTTTTTAAATATGCTTGCTAAATAGGAGCATATTGCTCCCACCTTTATGTTTATATCTCTATATTTGTATATATTGGTTACTGTGTGTTTCTGTTAACTGGGATTTTGTATAGAAAGCATCAGGAAAGCTACGGAAAAGAATACCTTTCCTACAGTTGAGTGGTCTACTCCAAACACAGTAAACATTCAGTCATAATAAAAATTGGAACAAGTAGAGGTTTCTCTTGGTGGGGAAAATGGGACTTTAGGAAGGTGGGAAGGAGATGGTCTACATTTGCTTTGGGATAATTCTTTTCGGATGATTTGGTCAGAAATTGTAGGATTTTGGATGGGTCTCCTATGCAAAGTCTATGTGAGGGTCATCCAAAGGTTCTGCTAGAGCTGTGTGTCTTGAATATTGGTAGACTCCAATTCTAGGTATGTTTATTCAGAAGTAACTCCCATAGAGGTCAGAGTGGCAAACTACCCAAATTGTTGCCAGTGTTATATACATATGTGGTCCATTTTCAGATAGACTGTTGATTGTGACATAGAAACCATGTATGGGTTAGGTCTAGCCTATCTAAGGGACCATATCTCACCATATGGGGCTACACGAGTTCTAGGATCTTCCATGGAAATCTTGGGTCTGGGCATATTTGGTGAGGACCTGAAAGAGGGCCTTCTTGGTGGCTGCTCCCAGGCTATGGTACTCCCTGCCAAGGAAGACAAGGTTGTCCCTGTGCTCCTTTTCTATCTTTTGTTTAGACAACCCTTTGGCCACCGGTGGAAGGGTGTATGTTGTACCTTTTTCCCCTTTGTCATACTTTTAGGAGGCTTAAATCATATTAATCTAATGATTTTTCCATATAACTTATTTGTGTTTTAATACTGTAACTTAGGGTCATTTCAGCTGAAGCTATTCCAATTTGGGTTCCTTTGAGTTCAGCACTGGCAGGAATGGATGAATGAATAGTGAATATGGTTGCAGATTGTGTATGTGTGAATCTTTTGTTTGAGTTTCTAGGCTGTATGGTTCCTAAGTGTATCTGCTCTTAATTCTGAACCTGTACTGGATTAGGGGTCTCCCCATGGGCCAGCACTTTGGTGCAGGAGTCAGAATAATAGTGATTGCCATACTTTCAATGGTTTTGCTGCTAATTGACCCTGAAGGTAATTTCTTGTTCCTCTTCTTCTCTTATTGCTACAATTAAGACTGGCTTAATATTCAGCCTACCTTGTAAGAAGTGATCTTCCTTTTCCCTGTCCTAACTGAATATTTGTCACCACTGCATGATGAGGCTCAGTCACTGCGCATCCCCACTACATGTATGCATACATCGTGGATGGCTGTGTTCAGTGCTCATCTTTGCTGAAAATTTCCAAGGAACTCCACCTGAGTCTGCTATCTCACTGGGGGAATAGGGTGTAGGAGGAACCTGTGGCCTTATGTCAATAACCATGTGTGTCTGTAGTTAGAAATGCCATAGGTATGTCTAGCCACTCCCCAGTCCTCACTCAGAGACTAAGGACTGGCAATAGCACATGGCTCTGCCCTTTTCACACTCATTTGGAGGCTTGTCCAACATGATCTGTAGCTTAGCCTGAGCCTGCCGGCAAATTTTCTTCATTCTCTGTGACCTACTTGGGACAAGCCTTCTTTTCAACACCATCTGTATTTAATAATGTGTACACACACCTATGAACTGCAGGCTGGAAAGGAAGACAGCTATGTGAGCATTGTACCTTCCTGCAGCTGTGCTTCTCTACTCTTTGTCCCCTGCCCCATTGAATTTTGGAAAGCTGTTCCTTGCCTCTTGGAAATAATCAAAGCAAATGGAAGGGCTCCGGGAAGTGATTTTTCAAGAGAAGCCACGAGCAAAGCGAAACACAAGGCTTGTTCATGCCAAAGAGATTACTGACAAGGTCATGTGTTAGGCCCACATTCAAAACCCAGACAGGATGATTACACTTGCCAAGAATCTGTCACCGAAGAAGCTCTTAGGTCAAATCAAGGCCTGAATACAATCTACATCTTCCCTATATCCTAGTCAATTCTTCAGGTCACTGTGCACTTATTTGGTGGGAGGACAGAACTAAATCCCTTGGATGAGGTTCCACCGTATGACTTTTTCTGGGCTGGAAGTTTTTATACTATGCAAGAAATTTAAATGAGGTTATGGGTGCTGGACCTTGGTGCACCATGTAAGCTGCCATAGTGGAGCAAGGAGGGATTTTAAATCTATAAAACATGGAGCACATAGGCAATACAGGGGGAGAAGTCACATGCTGAAAAAATAATTAATCCTTCCATATATGATCCAGGGGGAACATTTGTGTTATATGATGAACCTATGATGCACATGTGAATGTAGGAGGAGCCCAGTTACAGGCCATGTGCTGCTGAGGATGGGTGGTCTCAGGGTCTGCTGTCTTGTAAGGAAGGATGAGATGGACAGCTTGGGCAAGAAAGAATGTGAGTCAGCTTACAATGTAATTTCTCTCTAATTTTTTTAAATCGTGGGTTGTTCGGAGCATTGTTTGGCTTGTCTGTCTTGGCTGTCAGAATTACTTGCATTAGTGTAGTATTCCTCTGCATCTTTTGCTGTTAGTTGGTGTTCAGTAAAATCAGCTTCTAGCAAAAGGGTGGGCAAAGTGTAGTCCTGCATTCCTAGTCTTTGCCTTTGCTGCATAACACTGCTGGGAGTTGTAGTCTAGCTACATTTGGAGGGCCAGATTTTGCTTGTCGCTTACTAGCACATCCGAATGTAGTCTATATCTCTTGCATGGCAACTCCCACCTTGTCCACCGGCAAACCAATGCATGTGGAAAGCAGGTTGGAGAAGGCTATGCTAATACTGCTGTCTGTTGTTTGCTTGATTCAGCCTCTGCTCAGCAAGCAGTTCTAGGCCCTTGAGCCGCAAAGAGGAAGGTCATTATTAGCTAGTGGTAACCAGCCAACGAAGAGAAGGGTTCACCCGTAGCCAAGGTTCTGACTTGGTGTTAAAGGCTTGTCTGGGCCTCGAACGTGGCTCCCACACGTGATCTTGTTTATAATCCCTTTGGCACTGATGGCTTTGTTTTTTACTTTGCTTGAGGCCGCTCCTACAGTGCTGGGTCCTTGGCAAGTGGCCCAGCTACAAAAAAAGTAAGAGAGAGAGAGAGAGAGAGAGAGAGAGAGAGAGAGAGAGAGAGAGTGTTGTCGTTGGTGTCTCCAGGATTCTAGCTTCATAACCCTCCTACCAATCAGAAGTGTTTTAGTCCATCCTATTTTTTTACCATAATAGTCTTTTGGGCACTTGCCTCTCTCTTCACTCACTCAGTGTTTTTTTCCCCCCTCTTCTGCCACAGTGAGATGTAGGTCAGGGCAGAAAGACAATGGGATATGCAAGAGAATTTTGGCAGGCTGAGTTCAGAGCTTGCAATCATCGTGACCCAGAAATTAGAGGCGGACAAACCTTTCTCAGCTGCATGCTAGGGAGAGGAGGGTGCTGTCCACATAGTTCCAGACAGAGTTTGGAAGGGTTACATTTTTGAACTACAGGTTCCTGAATCAAACAGTCAAGGTCTAGTTCCCATGCACTGGGTTGCTTTTTCTTTTCTTTTTAAAGTTCTTTCAACAGTAGTTTTTACTGACAAGCGGGTTTACCTTAATCTCTCCCTGGTCCTTGCACGTGTGCTAGAAGACAGCTCCCATGTGCTCTCCTGCCTCTCCCAAGTCTCCCCCACGTGGCTTGGAAAACTCACATGCCCACAGTGTGAAATGATTAATTATAATGTCTCTTAGGTGTTCTCTCCCTTCTTTCTTTTGCATATGTATGTGCGATGATCTAATTGTTTATACAAGAGTCTGCCTCTGGAACAAAGTGAGTGAGTAAGATGGAAGCAAAATAGACGAATATAGGAGCTGGTTGCGGAGAGAGAAATCCCTTCCTTTGGGATATTACAGTGTGCCGTCCAGGGAAACAAAGGTTGCACGAATGTTCAGAACTTGGAAATTGAACTTTTTGGACTATAGCTCACAGAATCTACCAGCCACAGCCACGATGGCTGAGGATTGTGCCCCCAACAAACTTTTCTGTGCATTGATTAAGAGGCTATATTACCCAACTTATTACTTCTGCATAACTGAGAAGGTAATCGAAGAACAAAGCTATAGAATAACAGTATTTTAGAGTTGAAAGGGTTTTTGGGTGTCATTTAAGCAGCCCTCAGTGTTAGAATCCTGTACTGTATCTATAGTGCCCCAACCAATGGCTATGACCTCTAGATTCCACCTGTCAGCTGTCAAGCCATTTTTACCTGGCTGCAACTGGAAACAAGATGTAGCCTTGGATTGCTCTTCTTCTGATCCTCTAGGACAAGGTGGATGTTATCATAGAGTTTCATCTAAGATGCTGAACTCTATGGACACAGTTCTGTTCCCTTCTTAGCAGTGGTGTAATGGTGAATTTGGACAAGTGGGTGCTCTTTGTGACAGGCCTTCATAGCCATATGGAGTGTCCAAAAATGCAGGGAGCTAGATTGGTCAATGTTAACAAATGGGGAGCAGGTGTTTTATAAAGTCAATGGCTTTTGATTGTTGGTTTATTCAAAACCAAAATTAACTTTTGGTTAATTCAAAACCAGACTATCCTCAAATACTCTCCATTACATTTGGGGCAGCTTGCAACAATGCACTGTACCTGGGAAAATCAGTTTCTCTCCCAGTTACTGTGGGGATTGCAGCTTAGCAAACAGCAAAGCCTGAGGGAATGAGTGAGCGGTGGATGATGTAATAGTTCCTGATGCTTGGAACATCTTGAGGCCTTTAACTCTGCAAGCCCTAGCTCCACTATGCTATTGCTACTCAGGTATCACAATTTTGAAGTTAAAGAAGGACATTTATCCAAGTTTAACTGTTGGTTGGACATAGATGTGAGCATATTTGGTTGCTGCTCTCAGTGGCATGGAGTTAGTGAGTCCCTTTCAAAAAATACCATTTTTATCTTTTTAGTTCTTTGGAACTCTTTTGAAAATGTGGCAGCCAAAATTATAGATGTCATTCTAAGCTGATCTCCATATACTTGGAATGGGGTGGGTGGGAACAGCAATGATGTGGTCAGTTATTAAATATAGTACAGTATGAAGTTTTTGCTCCCTTTATCAATGAATTTGAGTTCATATAGTGGATTATGGAGATAATTGGGGCTGCATTTCTATGTAGTCACCTCATGAGAGGATGTTTTCATTGGTTTTCAGACAAGCAAGATACATGGCTTCAAAAAGGACTAACCAATTTTTCTTAAAAGACTAAACAATTTACAGAAATGGTAGTATTTTTTTTTCTGCTCTCTTCTTTTTCTTCCCAGTCCCTTCTGTATTGCTACAGCAGTCAGTTCTTTGACTATAGTAAAATTCATTTCAGGGTCTGCATTTTGAAATACCACTTTATGGTACAATTGTGTTGCCAGAATATTCTCTGTAACAGTGAGGACTAGAAACCTATCCTACTCAAAGAGCATTGCAAAGTTTAAGATTCAAACATGACACCTCAGAAGTACTTCAGATTGCTGCCGTACATACATAGATTGTGCCTTTGCAGGGCTACACTGATGTTCCTGTGCCTGGATAGATGTTTGTGATGCTCACTTGTTTTGTTTTTTTTAAACTCTCCACAGGTGGTGTGATCAGCTATATTGGGTCCAATGGTTCTTCACCGAGCCGCACAAGCCCCGTCTCTCTCTGCAGCAGTGACAGTTCCAATGGCAGTTGCCAAATGTCTTCGCAACCTACCTTCCCCAGCTACTTTCCGCCCTCACCCACTGGATCTCTAGGGCAGGACTCTAACCGTCCATATGGGAACAGTTCGGCTGGACTACGTGATGATGCCTCGCCCTCCTCCTCCTCCTCTTCCTCCTCCTCCAGTAGCTCTGGAAGCTCCCCAATGGGCCTGCAGGTGGCCGTGGAAGATGGGAGGCGTGTCTCCCCAACCAAAAGCACCAGTAGCAGCATCACAAGTAAGGGCAAGGTTGAGGACTTACTGAATTAATAAGTGGATTATTTCTGTGGGCTACAACTCTTAAGAAGAATGTCAAGAGTCATGCTGGCTGAGAGATTCTGGACACTGTAGTCGAAAGAAAGAAAGAGAGAGAAAAATTATTATCCTAGTCTCTCTGCTTCGGTATAGGGACAGGTTTGAGGATTCAGAGATAGGCAGAGCTGCAGCGTTGGCTGTGGACCTGCAGTCCTGCCAGCAACTCTTGTTAGATTTATTGCATGCTTGGGATCTGCTTTTGCCTTTTTTTTTTTTTTTTTTTTTTGGTACCCTTAATTTCTCTTGGGTATACTGAAAATGGTGGAGGCTCAGCCGACACAGAACTACAAATCCTGGCTTTGGTTAGGAGATCACTTAAACACCCCCCCCCCTTCTTGTCTGCCTTTCAGAACTCAATGGAATGGTCCTTCTGTGCAAAGTTTGTGGGGATGTTGCATCCGGTTTCCACTATGGTGTCCATGCTTGTGAAGGCTGTAAGGTGAGCTCCTTTCTCTCTTCCTTCTTCTTTGTGTGGGCTAAAAAAATGTGTGGGACCTTGTGACATAAACTGCAGGTAGTGGATAAATCCTGAGCCAAGTCCAGGTTGTTTTCCTGCCTTGAGGTTTTGGGGGACAAATAGCATCCTTTCTCCACACTAAGGAACACGACACACAGCCCTGCAGGGGCGTTTCCTTCACAAGTGGTACACATGAATGGGAATTGCCCGAGAATACATGAAAATAAAGGCGAGACTGCGGGGCCTGCGGTGCAGTCTAGAACTTCAGGGAGCCGCAGCTCAGCAACAGCTGGCGTGCCACACCTTCCCCATCTCTGCATTAGAACATCTGGGGCCAGTTGTGCCTCCTATGTCAGTCCTGCCTGTTTTTCTGTTCTGCTGCTCTTTACTGAAATTAAATAAATAAAAGAAACTGTGGGGTGAAAAGCAAGCTCTCTTGTTTTGTTAATAGAGCAGTCTCTGGGCCTGACTGTGTACGCCTGCTGATTATTTGGCTGCTCCACTTGCCGTGGTTGAGCCAGTGGCATAGAGATCTGGGAGTTGGAGGGGGGATGTATAAGTCCCTAATGCAGACCTTGTAAGCAAGAAGGCACATGGATATTTTGCAGCCTAGACGCACCCATTTAATTGCTGTCCAGCTCCTAAATATCTGGGAACTGGGTTGAGATGCATGCTCAGGATTTGCCTCCCTCACTTTCCTAATTCATTCTCATCTCTGATTCAGGGTTTCTTCCGGCGCAGCATTCAGCAAAATATCCAGTACAAAAAGTGCCTCAAGAATGAAACCTGTAACATTGTCCGTATCAACCGGAATCGGTGCCAACAGTGCCGCTTCAAGAAGTGCATGGGGGTCGGCATGTCCCGTGATGGTGAGTCCTTACTAGACCAGGGGATGGAGGCTGACTGTTTCTGCAAGTTAGGGATAGCGAGGGAAGGAGTCATTGTTTTTTCCCTTGCTTTATTGGGGTGCTCAGCCAAGAAGGCAGGATCATGCCCTTGAGTGCCGAGAGGTATCAGAGTCTTTTGGGGAACTATAGTAAATCTTCTTCCAGTCCTTCAGGATGTATTTGAGCACAGCCCTTTATCACTTCTTCACAATTAAACAAGTCACCTCTTCCCTTTCTCCTTCACCTTGTTCACTCACTAGCTTTTGCTGCTCTCTTTATTTTCATAGGAACTTCCACCCCTCATCGTCCTCCCCATACCAATTATTCCAGCACTTTTAGGTTTCCAGCAAGCAGTATTCCTTACTCTTCCTTTGTGCCATGTTGTAAGGGCGCATGAAAGGAATACATCAGATGGCAGCAGGATCTTTCCTGCTCTGGCAGCTGCAAAGTTATCAGTCTTGTTTAAAAGATGGCCATTGAGTTTGCTTCCCCCCCCCCAGCAGAACCTTTTAGGTATTATTTTACTAAGTGACTTTTCTGCAAATGCTTGATGTATTCTTCTCCTCTCTTTTTTCCCTTCTCTGTAGCTGTACGTTTTGGGCGCATCCCCAAGCGTGAAAAGCAAAGGATGCTAGCAGAGATGCAGAGTGCCATGAACAATATGGCCAATAACCAACTAACTGCACAGTGCCCACCTGAGAGCTTACCAGCAGGACACCTGCAGGCCAACAACCCTTTGCTGTGCCACCAACCCCAGGTGGCGCCCTGCTCCCCACCACCCCACACAGCCTCGCCAGCCCAGCCATCTCCTTGCTTCTCCCAGTTTTCTCAGCAACTGACGCCCCCTCGCTCTCCAAGCCCTGGCGATGTTATGGAGAATGTCATCTCACAAGTGGCCAAGGCCCACAAGGAGATTTTTGTTTATGCCCATGACAAACTGGCCACAGGGCCCCCACCTTCCACAAGGACTGACAGCTCTGCCCATTGGGAGAACAGCTGGCTGATCAATGGCGGCCACAGCAATGGCATCTGCCAACAGAATGATAACTGGAACTCGGGCTCCGTCCCCAGTAATACTTGTCATCAGAACAACATCAATGGACATCGTTTTTGCCCTTCTGGTTATCCCTCTGGAGACACAGAACCCTCTATGGGGCAAGACTGCCCACGGCAAGGCAAGGCCAGAGATATCCTCTTGGTAAGTCTCCTCAGCACTTCCCTGGCACGCCCATGTTTGCCTGCTGAGGTTTATTCAGTGTCCATTACCTTCTCTAATGGGGAAAGAGGGGAAGCCCCATTGATGGCCAGGAGGTTAAATTTTGATATTCCAGGAATGGCTTGCCTATAGGAAAGAAAGGTTGAATTGGAAATGTCTCAATCCACGGCTCAGACTGGCTTTTGATTAGGATATTATTTTATCTCAGCTGCTGTTTTCATTAGACCCCCTTATTTACACATATGTGAATGTTAAGGTTCTGCTACCAGCTGAAGTTTGATTAGTATGGTCTTGTATTTATCAATACAAAACAAATTTATTCTACAGCCAAAGGCCCGATAACTTATAGTTATCTATTATTTTAAACATTTTGGAATTTTTAAAGCTCTTCATTCTTCTGTTGTGCTTTAATTGCACGAATTGTTCTGAGTCTTTCAAAGAAGACCAGTCAAGAATATATTCTGTATAATAAAGCAACCAGCCAACCACTTAATCTTAGAGAAGAACTTGAACTATTTTTTCCCTTAAACTCAGTGTATTTGGTTAATTTATAGGCAAATAGGTTTAGGAGTAGGTTGTGCACATTCAGTTAATACTGTACATGTGATTACATCTTACTTGAAACTGCTAATTAATCAGAATAACTTTAACAGCTTGGTGAGCTATAAGCAGTTGATGTCTAACTCCTAGCATACTCTGTGATAATGTGCGAAGGAGGGAGTGTTAGAAGGGAGGATACAGAATTTATCAAATTCACCAAGCTTTTCATTGTATAAACTTACACAAGAGGCATGGTGAACGGAGGCAGGGACTAGTAAATCTCATTGTAATAGAAGATCTTCCTTTAGAAGGGCGGAGAATCTGCTGCTGTGATAGATGTACCTTGAGGAGGAGTGGGTCCTCTAGATTTTGTCACATATCCTTTAAGGAGCATTCATTCAGGTTGGAGAGAAATGGTAGAGTATGGTGTGGCACAGTGCCAGCAAAACAGGAATGTTTAAATGCAATGTGCATGCTTAATATTTGCAATGATGCCTTTAAATAGAAAGGCTCATTCTTTTTGCAAATATCGAAGTTAAGAATTAATGTGCAATAGTAATCGTTTAGCTGTGGTACTAATTAATTGACCCTGGTTGTTCTTTGCAATTAGTTTGGGTTTGTTTTTTTTAACAGAGTGTCACATATACTATAAATGGCACATGCAAACTAGTGTTTGAAGCTTAATTGTACCACGTTTTCATTGATTTCAAGGTGAAAGTCAGCATTGGCTCAAGTTGGTAATTAATTGGGTGGGAAGATATACTTCATTTCTTGTGGCTGGGGAAAATAGACATGAGCAGTAGAAGATGGGAACTTAAGAAACATCTATTCAGCATAGCTACTGACTAGCTCCAATGGCTCAGATTCCTGCTCTTGGTTCTTGCTCTAACAGAGCTCACTATGTTCCACCCCGACAGGCGTGCCCTATGAATTGTCACCCTCATGGTCGTAGTGGCCGGACAGGCCAAGAAATTTGGGAGGATTTCTCACTGAGTTTCACACCTGCTGTACGAGAGGTGGTAGAATTCGCAAAACACATCCCTGGTTTCCAGGACCTGTCACAGCATGACCAGGTTTCGCTACTCAAAGCTGGCACCTTTGAGGTAGGTGGACTTTCGCTTACCATTTACATACCTTACTGGTTATGAGCTGCTCACAACATTATTCTGTGTAGGAATGAGAACATTATGCCTTTGCTGAAATTCAGCAAACACCTGTAGTGTCAAAGAAAGAGAGATCTCACCATTGTAACAATGCACTAAAAAGACAGGATTTCTTGGCTCATCTTTGAAATATGAAGGAAATAAAAGAATTAAAGGGATGTAGTACTCTTTAAGGATATAGTACCTTGCCATCTCCAAAGTTAGGTAAATGCCACCTGAAAAGGTATGGAATTTGTTCTGAGGTCCCTAAACATGTGATCCTTCCCTCGCCTCCAAGACTGCCAATCTAAAACGCTCTGTTGTGGCTTCAGTTGCACAGAGGTGTAATTGAAGAAGACCCCAGAGCTCTTGTACAGGCACAGAAACACTTGAGCATGTATGTGTACATGGCTGTTTGGATCTTGATCAGTGGTGTTCAAGCCTGGGATATATAAACATTCATTCTTGTAATTGTTTATTTTATTTATTAAAACCAGTGGATTTTATTTGTCCGCATAACCAGAACTGGTAATTTAAACCAGTGTTAAAAGTAATGCATCAGATGCTTAAAATTTTAAAGGCTATCCTCCTCCTCCTCCTCCTCCTCATTTTTGGTGGGAAAAATACTGTAATTAATACCTTTCCAGATTGGAATATCAGCTCAGAACATGGTAATGTTTTTGACTTCATTTAGTATGTGGAAGAACTCTCATTACCTTAAAGCCAACAAAAAAAGGCATTTGATTGGGTTCTGTGGACATGGAGTTTTCCTGTGGTCTGACGGGCATCTCTCCTCCTCTTCTCGTTCCTCAGGTGCTGATGGTCCGGTTTGCCTCCCTCTTCAACGTCAAAGAACAGACTGTGACATTCATGAGTCGTACCAAATACAGCCTTGAGGAGCTATGGGGGATGGGCATGGGCGACCTGCTTACATCCATGTTTGAATTCAGTGAAAAACTTGGTTCCTTGAACCTGTCTGAAGAAGAACTGGGGCTCTTCACAGCTGTAGTGCTGGTCTCAGCAGGTATGTGTTCTTCAGCATGGATTGGTGGGAATCTCAGTTATGCAACATGAATGTTTTGATTGTGCCTTTTTTAAAAAAAGCTGTCCATAGTTATGGCCATCCTATTTTGCAGATAAAATATTCTAGTTATAGCTCTGCCCGTGGGTTTACTGCCAAGCAATGCCCTGCTCCCTTCCATAATTCCATTACTCTCCAGTCAAATTCATCCTTTGCTTTCAAGCCTTTAGCTTTATACATTATATATTAGTTTACCGTCCTGCAGTTCCACATAATTCTCCCTATATAGCTTTATTTCTTCACTTCTGCCGCCTTCTCATATTCTCCATTGTTAAAAATTTGGGAGAAGCTGCGAGAGGCAGAATGTTCTAACATTCTTTCAAATGTTCATCTGTAAGAGTTGTGTTTACTCGCAGTGCTTTAGAATGCTATAGATCAGGCGCTGGTCTGATGTATCTTTTTTTAGGACTGAATGATTTGTGATCTAGGAGATTAGAAATGTGTAACAGATGTATCAGAGAACTGAACCCCCAATGCTTCATCTCCCCTCTTCTGGATGCAGTGCTGTTACACAATTACTTATCACTTGTTCTTATTTTGTATAGATCGTTCTGGCATCGAAGACCAGGCATCTGTGGAGCAGCTGCAAGAGACCCTTATCCGGGCCCTGAGGGCCCTCATTCTCAAAAACCACCCCCAGGAAACGTCCCGCTTCACCAAACTGCTGCTCAAGCTCCCAGACTTACGTACACTCAACAACATGCACTCTGAGAAGCTGCTCTCGTTTCGCATTGATGCTCAATAGATGAGGGTGGGGGAGGTATGCATTTCTGCTGCCCTGCCCTCCTTGCACTCTTGCACTAACCAGACTGCTCTCTGGGCCAGGACCCAACTATTTATACTGGTGTAGGACCTGCTGCCCCTACCTGTTCAGAAGCAAGTGGCACCACCATTTCTTTGTAAATATATATATGTATATTGGAGTTGTGTGAATAGAATGGCATTGTTTCCTGTTGTGACACTGGCCACACAGGAATAATATATTGAAAGCAAAATGCCTGGATGGCTGTCATTTGAGTTGTCTGCCTCTTGTCTATCCATCTCCAGTAATGTTTTCTCTGCTATACCCCAATCTTGACAGAAGAGAGAACGAAGACTCAATGGGGGCAATCCATGAAACTTTATACACAAAAGCTTCATTCATTTCGCAGAAGACATTAGTTCACACCCTAGAGAAAGTTAAATATGTGCACAAGCCCCATAGAAATCTGGAACTTAAAGGGTACTTGCCTTGTTCCATTGGCCTGACTGGATCTTTACAGCCATAAGGTATTTTTAACAGTTGTACCTGCTTTTAAGAAAAACTTCATTTCCCATGGTGTGCTGCACATGCCACTGTTTTGGCTTCCTTTCCTCTTTAGTTAAACCACTTTTTGAAAAAACACGATTTCCCCTTCCAGAAAACACTCTTATTATCAGAGTTGACTGTGGAATGAGGAGTCACACTATAGGTAACATTACCTCTTTCAAGTCCCTGTCCTTTAATTATCTCCTGCTTAATTTCCTTCTTAATTTTTGGTATATCCCATTCCTGTAGTATCAATTTCTTCCCTCAAAACCCACAGAGAGGCAGCTATTTGTGTGTGTGTGTGTGGGGGGGGTTATTTAGCATATGGAGGAATTGATCCTTATGATAAGGGCTCTGATGGGTAAAAAGTCAAGAAAGCAGTTGTAAGAAACAAGAATCCTAGAATTCTTATTTGTAGAACACATTTAGACAAAGACATTTACTACTCTGTTGTGACATTTAGAGTTTTGCCCACCACCGCTTCTCAGAAATGAGACACCAAAAGCCAGTTGGTGCTGTGAGGGTTTTTTTTTTTTTTGGTCTTTTTTTTTTTAAGGGTAGGTTTGTTTGGTTTTTTTTAATCATATATTTATTACATAAATATATAGTAAAATAGACCAGCGACAATTACCATAAAAATATCTTTCTTTAAAATCCTGACCAAAAACACAAAAAGGGTTATTTTTCCCCGCCCCAGACTTTTCAGTTTTTTTTTTCAAAATCGCACGTCACAGACAAATTGTGATTGTCGTATTTTTACATCAGCAGCTTCCTGCTTCCCAGACGCAAAAAGAAAAAAAGGGGGGGTAAGGGAAGGGGAGGGGGATAAGGGTGAGGTGGAGGGAGACAACTTTCCCCACCTGGTTCTTCCCTCCCTGTGCCCTCCCAACACCCTTTTCTGTAACACACTGAAAACCCCTTGTCCCAAAGGTACATTCACTAACTCCCTGCTCACAGTTTCTTTCCCTGCTCCAGACTGCGAGGGGGGAAAAACCACAATGCATAGTATAGGGGGGGTATGGGGTTTCCCCCTTATTGGAAATGTCCTTCTCTCCCCAGAGTATGTGACAATAGCTATCTCTCCTCCCCAGCCTTGTAGTCTGGATCCAAAACTGCAATACCTTGAGTAAAATCCTTGCAGAGCTAAGATCAGGCGGGGTGGGGAAGTGCAGAAGAGATCAGTGGGGTATCATCTGCAGAAACTGTATGAGGTATGTACTTGGCAAAGGAATACTGAGAGGTGGAGTAGGAAGAAGTGTCCCTCCCTCCCCTTACACAGGCCTCAGGGGGTGGAAAGAAAAAAAGCTGGCTCCTATCCATAAATTGTCACAGTCATTAAGTGTCCTACCTGGACGTGGAGGAAGTGGCAATGGGGCCCTGTGCCCTGCAAAGGCGCAAGATCTGCTACTGGCTGCCAAAGCCTTACGTTTCTCCAGATCGGTTGGATACCAACCCATTGGAGATACCCACAAGAAGTGGGGAGGGGAGGATCCTGTCTGTGGTTTTCCTTGCTCTGGGCAGTAACACAAAAAGGCAAATTATGAAGGAGTTGGCATGATGATGAGAGAGTAACACCTGAGGCATCTTGAGTTGTATGGAAGGGATTCGCCCTGAGTTCTTCTTCCTTCTAACTAAAGATGAAGGTACAGGACTCAGCACACACCCAACTGCCCCAGCTATCATTAGAAGATGGCTCAAAGTACCCTCTGTAAAAAAAGTGGCAAAAGCTACAGGAAATCTTCTCTTAAGGGAAGTACTGTGAATACATGTCCTTGATACAAACTCGGAACACAGAGTGTAGCCCTCCCCTTTTGAAGTATCTATATGAATGCTACCTAGCATTTCTTTTCAGAGGTGTGTGTCCAGCCTTTGGGAAAAGGTTACAGATAAGAATTACACTGATTGGTCCTATGAAGATGGATTTGTTCCTTTGAGAATATGAGTGGGTTGGATAGTAGGTTTGCCCAATCTGAGCTACAAAGAGTGGAAAGGTTTTCTTTGGCTAAGATGCCACAGCCTTATGATCTCAGCAACTCCTTGAGGGAATCATCATTATCCTGTTCTTTTCTCCACTCTTCTGGGATGCAAAGTGATAAGTTCGATGTTGACTCACAAAACTGTTTTGGTATCGCCTGGTCACATTCCCATCAACTATGTCTGGACTGAGTCCAAAGAGAGTATTTGACTTTATACCGACTGACATGAGAATTTGAGCTGTAGTGATGGAGAGAGGTTATTCACACACAAACTTTTGTCTCTGCTATTGTCCAGAAACCAATGAACGTGCATATGCCAATCAGGTCTTGTACGCTAAAAAACACTACCCCTTCCCCAAGGCCAATCACTTCCCTTGCTGTAAAAGTTCAAGGAGCTGAAGAGGCAAGGGGCTCCTCTCCTTAAATGAGAGCCAGACAGAAGATCATCAAGTTACTCTACGAGATCTTGTTAGTCAGCGGAGCTAAATGATTTTAAGCTATGGGTGCAAAAGCCTTACTACAGCAGGATCAACCCTAGGCCTAAGATGAAGTCACACATAAGAGCGTCCAGGTCAGCAGGACAACTTCCTGCCTGCTGAAGTTTCAAGAAAGGTAACAAATCCTATCAATGGGAGAAGAAAAAGAATTAAAGGAACCAGAAGTCTTAAAAAGGGAGGGCAGGTATCATTTTTCCCCTCCACTAGCCAGTTTGAGAGGGCTTATAGGGAACTGGTTGGGTATGTTAATGGGACTTTACACTTAGTATGCATAGGAAATCTGTGCATGTCTTGTTTCATATGCTGTTGACAGAACTGTGGTTATATATACAGTTAAGCAGAAAGCTCTCCTGAACAAATGCCACTGAAGTTCAGAAGAGGTCCTGATGACTTCTATGGAGCATGTACAGGAAAACTTCACTGTGCACACACACACACACACGCACACAAACACACGTCCACACACACAGAGGGATTTTGCTCCAAAATGGAACATATCCTGGCAATTTCCCCAAGGCTTTAAAAGCCACCCCCCCTTAAATCTCTTATTCCCCAGTCCCTACCATTGGATATGCATAGGAAGTGAATGAAGGAGGAGATCAATGCATTATTTATATATGGAGATGTCATTATTTGGTGTAAGGCAATGAGGAATTAATACCCTGCCCTTCTCCCTTCCTGATAATTTGAGGTGTCTTCAAAAGCGTCATAAGCTTGTCCATACAAGAGCAAAATGTGCTCCCAATCATGCCTTTCTGGGCAGTTCTTTACCCACGCTCTCTGACTATATACAAAATATTTACAAGAGTTACAAATACAGGACAGACTGTACACTGTTTGGGATATGAAGTATGCCCCTGCTGGCTGCTTAAGGAATAGCATTAAGGCCTCCAGAAAACAGGGGGAGTGTATGGGAGACAGCTCTAGAGATGGGGCGGAACTGGAGCTCACATAGCAAACACTGTTAACTCCCGTGAATGTAGTGAACACATGGGATCAGAAAGGTGACAGGAACGGACAGTGTTTTAGGCAAAACAGACAGTAATACTTAAAGCAGGTGGTGTAGTGATACAAAAAGTAACTCTTCCCAAAATGAACCGCAGAAGCTGCTTCTCTAAACTAGCCTTTCCACACTGTGATGCTGTCTAGTTCCAGTCATGAGAATAGCAGTCCCAACACAACTAGGCAGCATCCGCTTTGGGACACGTGCTGTAAACGGAACCTAATGTTTGGCCCAAGAGCTCAGTGAGAAGAAGCCACAGTCCCAGGACTTGTAACCATCAAGCACACTGACTTGGCCACAGCCAACTTTTGAAGCACATGGCTCTGAAGTTATGGGAGCAGACACCCCTGTTTGAAATATGCAGAGGAGAGAAAGTGCAGCATCTTGAGACATTATGCACTCAGGAGCACATACAAACATTCACACAGGTATTGAGTCTGTCTCCATCACTGGAGGAGTGAATTCACTCTTGCCTAGCCATTATCACGTTTAACAGAAAACTAAAATATAAATGGAAGGACAGCCTGCTTATTCACCACACGCACATGCACACACAGACACACACACACAGAGGTACACACACCTGAGTTGATCAACACTGCACACATGCAGTGCTCCTAAATCTGGGTATTGATGCACAACAGACGCACATTCAGATACCCTGCTAAAGTTGACAACTAGGTATGGACAGACCTTGACATACACAATATGCAAGAATATGTCTTTCCACGTATCTGGACAAATCTACATGTATCTGCATATTCCCAGTTCGATGAAGCAAGTCTATGCATGTTGCTAGTTGCACAAAACTCATTCTTCCTAAAGAGCTTCTTACTGATAATTCTGCTTCCTTTTCTAGTGATGGTGGAGAGACAGCCATGGGTATCATCTGTGGCGGTTCCACAAAGCATGTATTGGAACTGATAATAAGCAGTGGAATCAATTTTTTGCTGTACCCAGACGAACCCCAAAGGAAGGATACTAGTTAACTTTATGGGCTGTCTCCTATCAAAATGAAAAGTCCTCCATTCAAAAGGAGAGCAAGACAAATATACTTCAGAACACAGTGGGTAACGTCAATATGTGTAAAGGAAAAGCCTTTCTTTCAGATAAAAGATGTTAACGAGCTAGGCTGGGGACAAGGCAATACTTGACAACCAACTTTTCTGCATATGCTGAGGGAAAGATGGGCCAAAGATTGCTGCATGTGTCTTACTTACCCTAGAACAGGAGCAACTCATAGTGTGT